TCTCCTCATTTGAATTCCATGCTGTCACAGTCACTAGCCCATTCAAGCTTAACATCCTTGTCATTTATCGCCCTCCAGGTTCCCTTGGAGAGTTCATCAATGAGCTTGACGCCTTGATAAGTTACTTTCCTGAGGATGGCTCAACCCTCACAGTTCTGGGTGACTTTAACCTCCCTACGTCTGCCTTTGACTCATTTCTCTCTGCCTCCTTCTTTCCACTCCTTTCCTCTTTTGACCTCACCCTCTCACCGTCCCCCCCTACTCACAAGGCAGGCAATACGCTTGACTTCATCTTTACTAGATGCTGTTTTTCAACTAATCTCACTGCAACTCCCCTCCAAGTCTCCGACCACTACTTTGTATCCTTTTCTCTCTCGCTCTCCTCCAACACTACTCACTCTGCCCCTACTCAGATGGCAATGTGCCGTCGCAACCTTCGCTCTCTCTCTCCCGCTACACTCTCCTCTTCCATCCTATCATCTGTTCCCTCTGCTAAATCCTTCTCCCTCCGATCTCCTGATTCTGCCTCCTCAACCCTCCTCTCCTCCCTTTCTGCATCTTTTGACTCTCCATGTCCCCTATCCTCCCGGCCGGCTCGGTCCTCCCCTCCTGCTCCGTGGCTTGACGACTCATTGCGAGCTCACAGAAGAGGGCTCCGGGCAGCCGAGCAGAAATGGAGGAAAACTAGACTCCCTGCGGACCTGTCATCTTTTCACTCCCTCCTCTCTACATTCTCTTCCTCTGTTTCCGCTGCTAAAGCCACTTTCTACCACTCTAAATTTCAAGCCTCTGCCTCTAACCCTAGGAAGCTCTTCGCCACCTTCTCCTCCCTGCTGAATCCTCCTCCACCTCCCCCTCCATCCCCCTTCTCTGTGGATGACTGCGTCAACCATTTTGAAAAGAAGGTTGACGATATACGATCCTCATTTATTAAGTCAAATGACACCGCTGGTCCTGCTCACACTGTCTACGCTATGCTTCGACTTCTTTCTACGCTCTCTCTCCAGATGAAATCTTGCGACTTGTGATGACCGGCCGCCCAACAACCTGCCCGCTTGACCCTATCCCCTCCTCTCTTCTCCAGACCATTTCCGGAGACCTTCTCCCTTACCTCACCTCGCTCATTAACTCATCCTTGACCGCTGGCTATGTCCCTTCCGTCTTCAAGAGAGCGAGAGTTGCACCCCTCCTCAAAAAACCTACACTCGATCCCTCTGATGTCAACAACTACAGACCAGTATCCCTACTTTCTTTTCTCTCCAAAACTCTTGAGCGTGCCGTCTCTAGCCAACTCTCCTGCTATCTCTCTCAGAATGACCTTCTTGATCCAAACCAGTCAGGTTTCAAGACTGGTCATTCAACTGAGACTGCTCTTCTCTGTGTCACGAAGGCTCTCCGCACTGCTAAAACTAACTCTCTCTCCTCTGCTCTTATTCTTCTAGACCTATCCGCTGCCTTTGATACTGTGAACCATCAGATCCTCCTCTCCACCATCTCCGAGTTGGGCATCTCCGGCGCTGCTCACTCTTGGATTGCGTCCTACCTGACAGGTCGCTCCTACCAGGTGGCGTGGCGAGAATCTGTCTCCGCACCACGTGCTCTCACCAATTCCCTATTCTCTCAACCCACTCCTATTCTCGCTATACACCAAGTCACTTGGCTCTGTCATATCCTCACATGGTCTCTCCTATCATTGCTACGCAGACGACACACAATTCATTTTTTCTTTCCCCCTTCTGATAACCAGGTGGCGAATCGCATCTCTGCATGTCTGGCAGACATATCAGTGTGGATGTCGGATCACCACCTCAAGCTGAACCTCGGCAAGACGGAGCTGCTCTTCCTCCCTGGGAAGGACTGCCCGCTCCATGATCTCGCCATCACGGTTGACAACTCCATTGTGTCCTCCTCCCAGAATGCAAAGAGCCTTGGCATAACCCTGGACAACACCCTGTCGTTCTCTGCTAACATAAAAGCAGTGACCCGATCCTGCAGGTTCATGCTCTACAACATTCGCAGAGTACGACCCTACCTTACACAGAAAGCGGCACAGGTCCTAATCCAGGCACTTGTCATCTCCCGTCTGGATTACTGCAACTCGCTGTTGGCTGGGCTCCCTGCCTGTGCCATTAAACCCTGACAACTTATCCAGAACGCCGCAGCCCGTCTGGTGTTCGACCTTCCCAAGTTCTCTCATGTCACCCCGCTCCTCCGCACACTCCACTGGCTTCCAGTTGAGGCTCGCATCTACTACAAGACCATGGTGCTTGCCTACGGAGCTGTGAGGGGAACGGCACCTCCTTACCTTCAGGCTCTGATCAGACCCTACACCCAAACGAGGGCACTACGTTCATCCATCTCTGGCCTGCTAGCTCCCCTACCTCTACAGAAGCACAGTTCCCGCTCAGTCCAGTCAAAGCTATTTGCTGCTCTGGCACCCCAATGGTGGAACAAGCACCCTCACGATGTCAGGACAGCGGAGTCACTGACCACCTTCCGGAGACACTTGAAACCCTACCTCTTTAAGGAATACCTGGAATAGTATAAAGCAATCCTTCTACCCCCCCTCCCCCACCCCCCCCATAAAAAAGAAGAAAAAAAGTGGTTGTCCCACTTGCTATCATAAGTTGAATGCACCAATTTGTAAGTCGCTCTGGATAAGAGCGTCTGCTAAATGATGTAAATGTGTTCTTTGGCTCATCCCCCTTTTTCCTCCAAACATAACGATGGTCATTATGGCCAAACAGTTCTATTTTTGTTTCATCAGACCAGAGGACATTTCTCCAAAAAGTACGATCTTTGTCCCCATGTGCAGTTGCAAACCGTAGTCTGGCTTTTTTATGGCGGTTTTGGAGCAGTGGCTTCTTCCTTGTTGAGTGGCCTTTCAGGTTATGTCGATATAGGACTCGTTTTACTGTGGCTATAGATACATTTGTACCTGTTTCCTCCAGCATCTTCACAAGGTCCTTTGCTGTTGTTCTTGGATTGATTTGCACTTTTCGCACCAAAGTACGTTAATCTCTAGGAGACAAAACGCATCTCCTTCCTGAGCGGAATGACGGCTGCATGGTCAAATGGTGTTTATACTTGCATACTATTGTTTGTACAGATGAACGTGGTACCTTCAGGCATTTGGAAATTTCTCCCATGGATGAACTAGACTTGTGGAGGTCTACAATTTCTTTTCTGAGGTCTTGGCTGATTTCTTTTGATTTTCACATGATGTCAAGCAAAGAGGCACTGAGTTTGAAGGTAGGCCTTGAAATACATCCACAGGTACACCTCCAATTGACTCAAATGATGTCAATTAGCCTATCAGAAGCTTCTAAAGCCATGACATCATTTTCTGGAATTTTCCAAGCTGTTTAAAGGCACAGTCAACTTAGTGTATGTATGGCTTTAGAAGCTTCTGATAGGCTAATTGACATCATTTGAGTCAATTGGATCACAATTCACTGTATCACTTCTGACCCACTGGAATTGTGATACAGTGAATTATAAGTGAAATAATCTGTCTGTAAACAATTGTTCGAAAAATTACTTGTGTCATGCACAAAGTAGATGTCGTAACCGACTTGCCAAAACTATAGTTTGTTAACAAGAAATTTGTGGAGTGGTTGAAAGTTGAGTTTTAATGACTCCAACCTAAGTGTATGTAAAACTTCCGACTTCAACTGTATATATAATTTTTAAACAATTTATTTATATTTATTTTTTGCTAAACAGGTAGGGCTCGAAACAGGTGGGGCTCTTACTTTAAGTAAGAACCAAAAGCAAATGTTTGTTTTCATGAACTTTTATGATAAGCCTATTAAGCCTAGCCAATTTTGAATTTGTGTTTGTGGTGACTAGTGACAACCATGATTGTGGCCTAGTTCACATTTTCGCTTTCATCAGGGCATGACCATTGCGAATTTGTGTCACACCTGTCGTCCGACCTCACCAAAAGATTGTCTACCATCGTCAACAAGGATGTCTTCAGAGACCCTGCTCTGAAACGGAAAGCCAGACGGTAGGCCAAGATTAAGTTTGAGAGGTACAAGACAGGCAAGAACAAATGGTTATTCCAGAAGCTCAGATTCTAGGCGTTCATTGGTTTCACTAATACATTTATTTAAAAAAAAGAAAAAAAGATTGTCTATTATATTGACAAGATAGTCAAGTGACCGCTCTAACAATGGAAATGCATGTCCTCAAAGATGGAATGCAGGCGGGAGGAGGCGAGATCAGATGGGATCATTCTAACCATTGAAAGTGCAGAAATGCGTGTGAACAACAGGCTATAGAAATAGATAGAGGACTCATTTTGGAATCTGTGCCATTATAGCATCTGTGACAGCATGGGCAGCGCCATTGAGACTATCTCAATTTTAAAGTAGTACATTTTCTTCTTCATTGGCTGATTGCTCCCAACTCATAGAGCTCTTCAGTTGACTACTTTAAAATGGTGGAAGCCCTCAATGGAACTGTCCATGCTAAAACAGGTTATGTCCATGATGAGTCCTCTATGTATTTCCATGACAATAAGCACAACTCCAATATAAAGTAGTTTTTTTTTGCCTAAATGCCACGTGCGTCCACTTATATCAGTTCATTCCCTAACCATTACGAAACATGTATTTGATAAAATAAGCCTCATGTAGCAAATTAGCAATTACATTTTTGCTTGACCAAATTCGACATACAAAAATTATTAATTATTTTTCGTGAACAGATTTTGGGTGGAGTAAAACCTCTCGCTTTGCCTCTTCCTCAACTCACAAGAGGGGTTAATTGGGGTCAAGCAGGAAGTGGGCTGTATTGCCAACCGCTGTTAAACCCCACCGAAGAATAAGAAGTGGACTGTTTTCAGAAAATAGTTGGTTGTTTGTCAGGTTAGAGTGCGTCTCACCTAGTCCTTGGTAAGAAATCATAGAAATCACGCCTTTTGATTTCCAGTTGATGGTAGTAGCCTATCCTTCTGGTGGTAGCTCGGAGCTTGCACCGGAGCTAGGTCCAACATGACGGCTACCCACCGTTACAACCCATACAACATTTGTATCCTCTCCTGTTTCGTGTTTTTGTTGTCTTCTACGTTTACCCGAGCAGACGGGAAAATGGCCACCATTCCTACTAGTCCCTCTGCTTCGTCACAATCACAACTCTGCGGGAGAAGCTGCCGAAATCACCACAACACTAGTCAGACAATCCAACAGCTGCATCACATGCCACTAACGGAGGCGCAGAAAGCCGACCAGAACTTGCAGTATATGTTAAGTTTGTATAAGAGCGCAGCCGACCCGGATGGGAGGCCTAAACAGCATCGGAAGTTCGGGTCGAACACAGTGCGTCTGCTGCGACCCATCACCACCCAGGTGCGGTCTCTGACAGCGTCTACAGGTGAGTAACACACACACACATTACATGAATGTCACACACACACATTACATGAATGTGTAATGTAGGCTACAGTGTTTATTTTGTAGATGATTTTCCCGTCTGGGCTATTATCCTTGGCCTAAGTGGTTCTCACCCTCCAGCTTTTGGCTACCTGTTCAAAATAAGTGTGAAAGGTAGGCTATTGAATTTGACAGTGGTTGTTGATTCATACTAACAATTTACAAACTGTTTTGTAAAGTGAATGATTATCTAATATTTTGTAGGTAGGCTAATATAGGGAACCTTAATCTGTGTTTTTGTTTGTTTGATGTTTGTCTGTCGTAGCCGGCCGCGACCGGGATACCCATTGGGCGGTGCACAATTGGCCCAGCGTCGTCCAGGGTAGGGGAGGGAATGGCCAGCAGGGATGTAGAGCATGGTGTTTGCAACGCCAGGGTTGTGGGTTCATTTCCCACGGGGGGCCAGTATGAAAAAAAATAAAAATAACGTATGCACTCACTAACTGTAAGTCGCTCTGGATAAGAGCGTCTGCTAAATGACTAAAATAAAAAATGTAAATGTAATAGATATTTTTGCATTATGACACATTCAATTCAGAATTGTATCAGATAAAAGACATGATTATGATATTGACACCTACCTTTCTCCTCTAATATCCACCCTTATTCTATCTTCATGTCATTCTCCACAATCTCCCCCTCTCCATCTTTTCTCACTCTCTTTCCACTTTCTCTCTACCTCTCCACATTCCTCTCCCTCCCTGTCCTCTCTCCACCTCCACATTCTCTCCCTCTCTTCCTTGTCTCCCACTCCATCCTTTCTACACCTCCATCCTCTCTCCACACTCCCTCTCTCTCTTCTCCAGACCTGCACTACACATACACAGTGGTGTATGACCTCCAATCCATCTCCCTGGACCATCTGGTGAGAGCCTCCTTCTTGCACCTCCGTTCCTCCAGAACTGTCAGCACGCCCCACCGCTCCCCTCTCCACTGCAGGGCCAGAGTCACCTCCCTTGGGCATGACAGCTGGATGAGCCCCCCTGGACATCTGGGGGACCAGGGGTGCCTGGTAACGCTGGAGCCCCATCAGCAGTGGACAGAAACAGACATCACAGAGCACTTCTCCAGCCAGGTGAAGCAGGGGAGTCGCCTGACCCTCTCGGCCCTGTACTGGTGCCTGGATCCTTGGTATCGTCGGAGTGAGGCCTGGGGCGGCCTGTGGAGGTTCAGGGGAAGAGGGGGACACAGGGGAGGGAGGAGGGCAGCCTCAAGAAATCACCTCAATGCCCCTGCTCTCCTTCTCTTCCTCGATGAAGAGGAGGAGCCCAGGGAGTGGGGGGAGGTGACTCGAATGCGGTACAGTTTGAGGTTGGGAGGTTTGGGGGGTCCTACTCCGGAGCACCACTACACCGGGGGCCCCAGGCCCCGATCACGTCGCGCCAAACCCCTACCATCCAACCCCAGTGGCCCTAACCATCCAGGCAGCATAGTCTCCGACATCCCCAACTACCGAAAACACAAAACCCCCTCGCCCAAGAACCAGTGCAAGCTCCACTCGTACCGGATCACCTTCGCCGCATTGGGCATGGCGCATTACCTCGCCCCACACCAGTACAACCCTCACTACTGTAAAGGAGACTGCCCCAGAGTCCTCCACTATGGCCTCAACTCGCCCAACCACGCCATCATGCAGACCCTGATTAAAGGGAAAGGGGTGGATGAGGTGCCGTCCCCGTCCTGCGTACCATATAAGTACAAGCCAATGAGCGTACTAATGCTGCTGGAGGACAACAAGACAGTGGATTATAAGGAGATTGAGGACATGATCGCCGAGTCCTGCACTTGCCGGTAGTTGGAGACATGGGAGGAGAGGTTGAGGGGGGTAGTTAAGAGTGCAGACCCCCCTCCCTTACATACTTGCCAGAAGACATGAGTGGTGGGGAGGTGGGGGGGTTAGTCAGGGAGAAGGCCAGTCCCCCTCTCCCTTAATCGGTAGAGACTGGGGCTTACCCTCCCTTACACGCCACTCCCTCCCAACTCTGTGTTTTGCTAGATGCCCCTCCCTACTTCCTCACTCTCAGGAGGACTTCAGCTTCCCCATGTCACTTTGAACATTTTGGAGGGGAGGGAAGGAGGGGTAGCTTGGAGGGGGTTCCACAAAAACAAAATACCTTGTTGCCTTCTTCAACAGGATCTGCGTAGGGGTGAATGTTACAATCACAGGACCAGTAGATTAGTCATGTGGGACTGAAGGTGCTCAGCTTCCCCAATTCTCTTTGAATCTTTTGAAGGGGAGGGTGGTGGGAGAGAGAATAAGTTAAGCCTGCCCCGATGCCCCCGCCCAAAAGCTCAGTGGGTAGTGAAGTCTTATGTGTCAATATTTATATGATGATGAAATGGTGGGCTGTAGTAATATGATGATATAATGATGCATGTACAGTAAGCAGAAAGGGTCAATCCTGACATTCAGCTTAAACCAATCAGAATTTGTGTTTTTCTGTCTTTTTGTCTCTTTTTTTTATTTGGAAAAATCTTCTTGATAGTGCTTGACATCTGGCCACAGGAAATTAGTGATAGAATGTACCGAACTGATTGGCTGAGTGAGTGATAGAACACACAACGTGATTGGCCAGAGACTAAGCTTCGTAAGATATGTAAATATTTGTTTGGATTCACACACATGATGTGATGTTGGGACTTTGGGCTACCCATCTATCAGCTTGGGTGTCTGCCCTTAAAAATAAAAAAGCATTTAAAATGTTCACAGTCCTTTTTAGGTGTTTCTCTCTTTATATTGTGCTATAATAAAACGGACAATGGAGTCTTGCTAGACCTGGATGTATGTCCCAAATGGCAGCCTCTTCCCTAAATAGTGCATTACTTTTGACCAGAGACCCATAGGGCTCAGTTTGAAAGTAGTGCACTGCGTAGGAATAGGGTGCCATTTAGGAAGCAGCCTTGGAGTTTGCTGCTTCTTTCCGAAACCACAGATTTTGCACATTTCTGGGCTGTGGATGTGGACTTCCTAAGCAAGCAAATAGAGAAGAGAGCAGGAGGGAGGAAGAAAAGAAACAGAGTGCAGTAGCACTGTCAATAGCCTGTCTCAAGGAAGAAGAAAAAAATGAATGGGGAAAGTGCAATGTGTCTGTGAGAGTATTTTGCTGGAGTGGGTCTTATGAATGTATAGCTTAAAGAGTCTTGCACTAAAATAAAATGCGTATTTTGTAAAAAAAAAAAAAGAAAAGGTCATTGGTTTTGTTTCTTAACTATAGTTGGGTTGATGATCGGTGGACCTAATGTTGAATTGGTAGTCATTAGTTAGCCATGCATATTTTGTAAAGGTTCATTTCTTGACATCGGTTTTGTTTTCTGGTGGGACAGCGATTTTAAAATTGCATTCATAACTTCACCCTGTTATGTAGATGACGTTGTCCATTCATGTTGCATGCTGGAGTGGACAAAATTGGCAATATTATATTAAGGGTTGATAAGAAAGTACTTTAAATATTTGTTAATTTTGGGCTTAAGGATAGGGTTAGTGGTGGTTTGCATTTGAGAGCATTCTGTTCTATCAGTTTAATTGCATACACAGAGGATGTTTTCCCAATGCTGCCTGCAGAAGATGTCTTTCACCCACAGATGGAAGTGTTACTCTATCATTTAAACCAGGGTATCAGAAGGCTACTTCTCTCTTACAGAACTCCATGCAATAAAGCAGGGAGTGGGTGTATTCATTAGTGCACATGTTTTGCAACTGAAAACAAAAATGACAATTTCGTATTGGATGTGTCCAGGTTCGTGAAGTCGCTGGTTTGAATACTGGCACCGACAAGGTGAAAAATCTGTTGCTGTGCCCTTGAGCAAGGCACTTAACCCTAACTGCTCCAGGGGTGCTGGACAAAGGCAACACTGGCCTTGACCCCACTCCCTGCGGGTGTCTCTCCCCCTCCCCAAGTTATTATTATCCCTTCCTTTTTCAGTCTGTTTTCTTCTGTTTGGTGCCTAATGTAGTCCCCTGTAGCTCAGTTGGTAGAGCATTGCGCTTGCAACGCCAGGGTTGTGGGTTTGTTTCCCACGGGGGGCCAGTATGAAAATATATGCACTCACTAACTGTAAGTCGCTCTGGATAAGAGCGTCTGCTAAATGACAAAACATTAAAAAAATTTAATGAACATGACCCTTTCATTGAAGTGGGCTGGTGCTGTCTGGTATAGGATGATAGAATACTGTATCTAAAATCTAAACCCTGGTACTGTAGAACTAAAATGAGTACAGGCACTTACTGAAATTAGAATTGGCACCTTTCTGATTCCACTTCAAGTACTGCTACAGCCTTGAAAATACACAGTTTAAAAAGTATATATTTTTCTCTTAGAGTGCATAGTCATCCCAGCTGACAACTGTACAGTCACTGTCATGCTGCAATATTGTCCAATATCAAACACAAACAGGACTACTAGCCAGACCTGGCTTCGTTCGAATACTATCTAAAATCTTCCAAATACTTCTGGAGTGTCAGATGGACAGGATTTTGCAGGATTTTGGGGACTATTCTACTGGTCCATTTGCCAGGCAAGCTCAATCAAGCACAGATTAAGTATTTAAAATGATTTCAAACAGTATTTAAACCCAGTTCTGCTACTAGGTCAGCAGTCAGTAGGCTAATTAGTTAAAGGAGAGATCTATTTCTGTGTCAACTCAATGTTTACCTATCTACTGTATGACTGTACACACAGGGGAAAGCTGGTGAGTTGATCTCTCTTTCGACCCCTTCTTTCTCTGCCCCTCAACCAATCAATCTCGCTCTCTTTCCCTCTCTCCCTCTCTCGCTCTCTCTCTCTCGCTCTCTCTCTCACACACTCACTCTTTCTCTCTCACTCTCTCACATACACTCACTCTTGCTCTCTCAACTGATTTCTCTCTCAAAACTGATGCTGGCGCTAAGACCACACTCAACGAGCTGTATAGGGCCATAAGCAAACAAAATGCTCACCCAGAGATGGTGGTCCTAGTGGCCGGTGACTTCAGTGCAGGAAAACTAAAATCAGTTTGACCTACTTTTTACCAGCATGTCAGCTGTACAACTAGAGGCGAAAAAGGAGCGGGACACTAATCCGGACGCTTATAAAAAATCCCGCTACGCACTCCGACGAACCATCAAACAGGGAAAACGTCAATACAGGACCAAGATTGAATCCTACTACACTGACTCTGACGCTCGTCGGATGTGGGAGGGCTTGCGAGCTGTCCAGTGACACGAGCCTACCAGACGAGCTAAATACCTTCTATGCTCGCTTCGACGCTAGCAACACTGAACCATGCATGAGAGCACCAGCAATCTCTATTGCACTCCACACTGCCCTTTCCCACATGGACAAAAGGAACACCTATGTGAGAATGCTATTCATTGACTACCGCTCAGCGTTCAACACCATAATGCCCTCCAAGCTCATCACTAAGCTAAGGCTTACGTGATGAGGGCCTCCTGACGGGCCGCCACCCAGGTGGTGAGGGTAGGCAACAACACATCCGCCACACGCTGACCCTCAACACTGGGGCCCTTCAGGGATGCTTGCTTAGTCCCCTCCTATACTCCCTGTTCACCCACGACTGCGTCGTGCAGATGACACGACGGTGGTAGGCCTGATCACCGACGGCGATGAGACCACCTACAGGTCGTCAGAGACCTGGCAGTGTGGTGCCAGGACAACAACCTCTCCCTCAACATCAGCAGGACAAAGGAGCTGATCGTGGACTACAGGAAACAGAGGGCCGAGCATGCCCCCATCCACATCGGCGGGGCTGTAGTGGAGTAGGTCGAGACCTCCAAGTACCTCAGAGTCCACATCACTAGGAATTATCACGGTCCACACAAACCAACACAGTGGTGAAGATGGAATGGCAACGCCTCTTCCCCCTCAGGAGGCTGAAAAGATTTGGCATGGGCCCTCAGATCCTCAAAAGTTCTACAGCTGCACCATTGAGAGCACATTGACTGGCTGCATCAACTCTTGGTATGACAACTGATCGGCATCCAACCGCAAGGCGCTACAGAAGGTAATGTGTACAGCCCAGGACATCACTGGGCCCGAGATCCCTGCCATCCAGGACCTCTATACCAGGCTGTGTCAAAGGAAGGCCCTAAAAATTGTCTAAGAATCCAGCCACCCAAGTCATAGACTGTTCTCTCTGCTACTGCACGGCAAGCGGTACCGATGTACCTAGTCTGGAACCAACAGGACCCTGAACAGCTTCTACCCCCAAGCCATAAGACTGCTAAATAGTTAGTCCGGGTAGCTATTGGTTAACTATTTAACTATCTGCATTGACCCTTTTTGCACTAATGCTGCTGTTACTGTTTATTATCTATCCTGTTGCTTAGTCACTTTATCCCTACCTACAGTATATGTACATATCTACCTAAATTACCTCGTACCGCTGCACATCGACTCGGTACTGGTACCTGTGTATATAGCCAAGTTTTCGTTACTCATTGTGTATATATTCCTTGTGTTATAATTGTTTTATTATTTCTCTTTTTTTTTCTTCTCTGCATTATTGGGAAGGGCCCGTAAGTAAGCATTTCACTGTTAGTTCACACCTGTTGTTTACGAAGCATGTGACAAATACAATTTGATTTGATCTCTTTCTACCCCTTCTTTCTCTGTTCCTCCCTAACGATTAAGATTACCGTTCTTCCATTGCCTATCAATGGACTAAATCACCTCAGTTATGTTCATTGCTCTTTCTCTCTTTCTCTTTCTCTATCTTTGTCTTTCTCTTTACAGTTACCTGGCCTAAATCCCAAAGAGCCCAAAGAAGCAAAAGCACTCCTAGAAAACTTCCTGTCCA